ATTTACCCGGTCTAGGTCATACTTTGTGTTCTTGTTGTGTGTTTTATATTACGGGTCGAGTGTGTCCAGGTCAAACCCGGTTAACCCACCCAGCTATATTTACACCATCATTTTTGGCGCCACCCGTGGGACCGATTTTTAAAGTTTTTTCGACCAGGTCAAAACTTTACCCCCACTAAATATCCACAATCATGTCTTCAAGCAACTACAACGCTGTGTCAAGCCAGGCTGCGAGTGAAAGCACTCCTGCCATCCCATTGATGATGTCGAGCATGGGGACAACCTTTGCTCCGATCACCACTGTAGGATCGATTGGCATGATCCCAATCATGTCAACCCCTACTCCTACGCCAACGACAACAATGTTCCCAGGCTCGATAACAACGCCTGGTGGAGCATTCACACCATACCCGTCAGCTTGGGCTCAGCTTGCTGCTGACCCGGCAAATGCTCAGGCTCTACAGGGCTATCAACAGGTGATGGCCATGATGCAACAGGCAGGTGGCTTCATGCCATTTGCCTATCCCGGCATGACGCCACCAATCATGCCACCTCCGGTGTCGACCCTGTCGACATTTGTCCCTAGGATGGTCCCTATACATCCAGTGAATCTGACGGGGACCATGAATGAAGCAGCACCCTCAAATGTCCATGAGGTCGATGAGGCGGAGCAAGAGGCGGCCCGCAGGAGGAAGGGTAAGGCTATAGCCAAACCCAGCAAGACCCGAGATTCGGCTTTCAAACGCCTAGGGGACAAAGAGGATGGACCCCGCAAGTCTGCCAAGCTACGTCTTGGTCCTGAGATGGGCCGGACTAGCGCGATGGAAAGACTTGGCGGGAGTCGTCACGCCCAATCTCGTCGTTCTAGGGAATCTGAGACGATTCGCCAAGACGAGGAGGAAGCAGAAAGCCAGCCCAGGGCGTCGGCATATACCAGGCTCTCATATGATGAGGATGATCTGGACAAGATAGGAAACGTAGCAAGAAAGCTACGTGCCCTGGAAGAAAAGGTGGACGAGAAGGCGGGAGCAAAGAAGCACACCCTGGCCAAATCACCCTTTTCGGCCAGGGTACATGCACAAAAATTGAGGCGTAAGGTCAAGCTGGACGTGGAAAAATTCACTGGAAAGGAGGATCCAAACGTCCACCTTGACACCTTCCACAATGCAGCACAG